AGCAAATGCCTTGTTGAAATACAGTTTTCAAGGTTCTCTTTTACTCTATAATCTATTGCATGAATAGATATGGATATGGATATATATGTAGAAATAGATATATTTTATAATGTTGGTTGAATAAAATGAATTTTGTTTTTGCCCAAATCCATATTTGTTTCTGCCAATAACAACCTCTCTATTATTCCCATCTATCAGCCATTTTAGTTAATTGTATTTGCATTCTTATGCCAAGCAATGATTCTAATTTAAAGTGACATTGTCTTATGGCTACCAGTGCAGGTCATGAGAAATGAACATTATAGACTAGGTCATGAGTAGCATGGAGAGATAGATAAGATAGGTAAGCTGAGTTCTAAAGATACTCAAAATAAAGAGTGAATAAAGAATGCTTATCATCCAAACTATTGTTTGCCATTTTAGGGAGAGTTCATAAAGCAGATTCATATCTTTAATAAACACTGAAGATGAGTAAAGGAGAAGAAGTAAAATTCATCAGTTTAAAAAGCCTAAGATCATGCCCAGAAATCTATAGGGCAGTATCAGGAATTGGCTAAAAAGTCAGGGGAGGTTCAGGGCTGTAACTGGCTCAACCAGATCCAAGTGGCATTTCATATTAGAGAAGTCAGTTCTATCTGTCAGCTCCATCCTGACTATCCAGGCCTTTTTTGGTTAAAGAGCCTATTTGATCCCTAAGGAGAATCATTCATTGTCAGTATTATCAGCCAGGAGTACCTTTTTGAGAAAGCCTTAAAGAAAAACTTAAGAAAACTAAGGAACTCAGGGTCCCAACTTCCTTTTCACCAATATTTTCATTTTCCAAAAGACAGGTAATAATTAGGCATTATAAGTGTCCAAGAGGAGCAGACAGACTGAGAGACAGACAGACAAGAGATAGATATAGAGATATAGAGATAGATAGATAGATAGATAGATAGATAGACAGACAGACAGAGAGACTAAACATTTGTTAACTACTTCTTATGTGCCAGGCACTCTGCTAAGCGCAAGCAAGATAGTCCCTACCCTCCAGGAACTTACATTTTAATGAGGTAAAACCTCATTAATGAATGTACTGGAAAATAAGGCAAGGAGGACAGAGGCAGACATTTGCTGAAGTGGCTGAAGATGTCTGGAAATTGTAATGAGATTAGGGAGTGTAGGTAGAGGCCTACAACTGAACAAGATAAAACTAAAGCTGTCCCATCAAAGTCCAAAGTGGTTCTGAGAATGGATTTCTATTCTCAGATAGGGAAGGAGTGGATGAATGTCCAATGCAGTGCTGGCAGTATGGCTAGAGATAGATTGAAGAAGAGACAGAGTCCCCTTCAAGCTGTGGAGTTGCTGCCAGTCTAACAGGGATGACTAAAGAAATGCATACTAAAAATATGACACATATAACAGACACAGAGAAGCACATATGGACCATCAAGGTGTTTGAAGCACAATATTTACTAAGAATTTGGAAGATACAGGAGAAGACAGGTGGAGGAAGAGTGGAGTAATCAAGGCTATGTAAAGTATGTCAGGGAAGGCATTCCAGAAGATAGATTGCCTTAATTAGAGCTTTGAAAAGGGAAGAGGAGACACATAATTTGGCAGCAAAAGGAATGGAAGGCATCTCAATTTGGAGGAGTGACCTGCCTGTTAGAAGTGAAAACTAGTGAAATAAATGTTGCCAGAGAGTCTATAATGATATTAAGTTCTATATTATTTTGCCCTTCTTCTCAAACTCATAATACTTATGAGGGTTTTTTTTCATATATGTTCGAAGTGATCTTGAAGCAGGCAGAATAATTCCTATGCTTGTGGATTATAAAACAAAAGAAAACAAAACAAAATAAAACTGAAGCCTGGAATGCTAGGCACATAATAAGAACTTAATACATGCTTGTTGACTTGACTCCATGGCCACATGCAAAGTCAGGAGAGAACTCAGGGCCGTAAGGCATGTCCTTTCTCCCAACCCAGTTAAGATGACAGGGACTCCCTATGTCAAATTCTATGCTAAGAAAGACACTGTTTCTTATCTGGAACCCAGGAAGATACAAGCTTTTTGTGTGCTTGGGGGAAGAAAGAAGAAAAGTGTCCATGTTCCCCATGTAATTCCTTACCCCTTTGACATTTTCCTATCTATTAATGTGGAGGGTATAGAGCATCCCATGGCCAAGAGAAAAGTTTAACAGGAGGGATAGTCTTGTATCATTATCAGCTCTGAGCAGATCTGGGCTTCCCACAGCAAGCTAATCAGGCCTTCCCAGCCAGCTCCTCTCCACCCTACCTCATCAGCACCAGAGCCAAGTCCTGGGCATGACATCAGCCTCTTCAACTCTTTCTCTTCTCAAATATACCCTTGACTCAGACTTCAAAGTAATTTTCTTAAAGCACAAGTCTGACCATGTCACTCCTTTGATCAATATGCTTCAGTGACTTAGGGTCAAATGCAAACTTTTCTATTTGGCATTTAAAGCCTTTTGCAATCTGGCATCAACCTACTTTTCTGGTTTAATGCATAAGTCCCTTAACACTCTACAATCCAAGTAAATTTCTTTCTGTTCCTCTTACAGGATGTTCCATCTCCCAGTTTCTTGCCTTTGCACTGACTTTGCCTTCTGCCTGGAATATACTCCCCCCTTACTTCCACCACTGAAAATCTCTAGTTTCCTTCAAAACTCAGCTCAATTTCCACCTTCTATATCAAGTTTTTCCTGATTACCCCAGCTGACAGCATTTTCTGCATTCTTCTACCACAAAAAGTTATCCTATAATTTATATTTTGCATTGAAGGTAATGTGGTGGCCTGGGTTCAAGTCTTGTCCCTAACACATACTGACTGTGTGACCCTGGGGGAAACATCTGAGCCACTCAATGCTCTAGGCAACACTTTAAGAAAAATGGTTTATAAGAACATCTGGGTGGCTCAGTAATAGACCATGGGCCCTGGAGTCAGGAGGACCTGAGTTCAAATGCAGCCTCAGACTTTACTAGCTATGTGACCCTGGGCAAGTCACTTAACCCATATTGCCTCCAAAAAAAGAAAGAAAGAAAGAAAGAAAGAAAGAAAGAAAGAAAGAAAGAAAGAAAGAAAGAAAGAAAGAAAGAAAGAAAGAAAGAAAGAAAGAAAGAAAGAAAGAAAAAGAAAGAAAGAAAGGAAGAAAGAAAGAAAAGTGGAATATATACATTGGTAGAGGAAATTCCTTACTGAGAGAAATTTCTCTACACTGCTAAAATCCAGTTGAAAAAAAAAAACCAGGACATCATATATTATATAGCTATAACTACAGCTATGTACATCTGTATATTTGTATGTACATACATACATGTATGTTGCTTCCCTAAGAGATATAAACCCATCGAGAGCAAGGACTGTTTCATTTTTGATTGTATCTCCAGACCCTGAAACAATACTTGGCAAATGGTACTCTTTTTAAATACTTCATCAATTGACAGGAGGTCCTGGACTTCCTTTTCCTGCAAATATTCTTAAATTAGAGTCTAAAAATCTGCCTAACCTGGAACCTTAACAGCCATACCTTTGCTCATGGTGAGAGTTTTATGCCTTTTGTCGGATTTTGCCATTTTAGCAACCATTTTATCAGCTACTTTTCTGGTGACATCTTATTCTTCCTTTCTTCAGTATTCTCATTTTCAAAAGATTCTAAAAACCTGTCTGATGAAGGTATTAGTTAATGACTAAATCTCATTCAGTCTAGTCTTCCTATCAAAATCAGCAATAATTGCATTCTTTCTTCTGGGGCCACAGAACAAGCAGGCAAATTCCCATGCCAAAGGATTAGATAGCCATTCCAGGGTGGTAGTCCTTTGCTATTTTGACTCCTGCACCCCAACTCCATCAAAAAATCCAAAAAGTATCGATTACTAGGAAAATCACCAAAAAAACAAAAAAACAAAAAACGCCCAATTACCTTTGGGGTTGATCCTGCATCTGCCCAGATGCTGTCCCCATTTTTACAGGTTTCCAGAGAAACTTTCTGGCTGACATGAAAATATGAATATCTCAATATGAAATAGCAACAGTATTGATTAGAGCTCATATTTCTCTAGTTCTTTATAATTTACTAAGTACTTTTCTCAAAAACAACCTTGCGAGGTAGGTAGTATAGTTATTACTTCTGCCAGGTTACAAATGAGGAAACTGAGTCCTAGAATGGTTAAGTGACTTGCCAAGGCAATATAGCTAGTAAATGGTGAAGTTTATATTAAAACTCAGTTTTTCTTATTCTTAGGTCTGTGTTCTTTACATTATATCTTGGCTGCCTCATAAACATACTACCTGGCTCATATGACAAGCTTAATAAATGTTTCCTGATTATAAAAAGATGATATCCATCTGGTACTTTTACAAATAAAATTCCCAGAACATTAACTGCATTTTGCATTTCTTTCCAAATATAAGTACAGAAACATATTTATCAAATTATCTACCACTTTGAATTATCTATATCACTATTCTCTACAAATAAGAGCTAACTAGATTTACTGATAGAAATTGCATAGAGCTTTGCAAAGCCTTGTCTGGATCTGAGGGATGTGGCATTTACCTTTCTGATCCCTAGCCTCAGGAAAATATTTAGAGAAGAAGAGATCTCAATCTGACTTCAAAAGAGCACACATTCAAGAAACTATCAATTCTTTCTATCCAGCTTTGGTCATGCTGATTATTGATTCCTCTACTTCATTTCTGGCCATATTTAAAAGACTGACAAAAAAACAAAGAGCTTGACCTCACCATTTACTATATATTAATAGAGAAAATAAACACAGAAGCAGTATTCTTTATCATATATATGTAATGAGTCGTTCATTAAAATTTTGTTAAGGACTTATTATGTGTCAGGCACTGTGCTAAGCACTGGGGATACAGAGAAAGTCAAAAGGCAGTCCCTGCCCTCAAGGAGCTCATAATCTGATAAGAGAGACAAGCAAACAAATATGCACAGCTATATACTGGATAAATAGGAAACAACCAAGAGAGGGAAAGCACTAGAATTAAGAAGGATTCAGATAGGCTTCCTGTAGAAGGTGGGATTTTAATTGGGACTTGAAGGAAGCCGTGGAAGCCAGGAGGGGGATATATATACACAGTGGAATCACACATTTTTAGTACTTAAAGCTTTCCAGTTTCTACTTTTTAGCAGCTACCCCATTTCAGTTAACTGGAAGAGCATGTGAAAACCTTTGACTGACACAGAAATTTTTTGATGGCCCCCTTAATCTCCTTGTTTCTCAGACTGTAAATAATGGGGTTGAAGAAAGGAGATAACACAGCAAACATAAGAGTAATGGTAGTGTCCCAAAAAAAAGAATACTTGGCATTGAAGCACAGGTACATGAGGGCTACACTCCCAAAAAAGGTCAAGAAAATAGCAAGATGGGAGGCACAGGTGGAGAAGGCCTTGTGATGCCCCTCAGATGATCGGATTCTTAGAATCACCCCAATGATCTGGATATAGGCCAAAGTCACCAGTGAAATGGCTGAGATGATCTCTATGGCATGGACAATATCCACGACCTTAATCAACACAATAGAGCCTGTGTCTACACAAGATAGGTTCAGTACGGGGTCAAAGTCACAGAAGATGTTGTTAATTTGAGTTGGACCACAAAATGGCAGTGTGGAAATCCAAGCAATTTCAGGAAGTGGAGTAAAGAAGCCAAAGAAGCAGCAGCCCAAGGTCAGTCGAATGTAAAGCTGTGAAGTCATGATGGTTGGATAGCGGAGAGGATAGCAGATGGCCAGATATCTATCCATGGCCATGGTGGTCAAGAGGTAAACTTCAGTGATACCAATGGAATGGAAGAAATACATCTGCAGGAGGCAACCAGCAATGGAGATGGTCTTCTGCTCACTTATCAAGTTGGTGAGCATCTTTGGGATGGTGGTCGTGGTGTACCAAATCTCCAGAAAGCAAGGACACCAATGAAGAAGTACATGGGTGTGTGAAGACGAGAGTCTAGAAAGACAGCAATGAAGACCATGGAGTTACCTATGATGATGAATAGGTAAATGAAGAGCAGGAGGATGAAGAAAAGAAAACCACCCTCCTGGAAATGGGGGAATGCAGTGAAGAGAAATTCAATAACCACCGTTTGGTTCTCATTCTCCATCGCCTTAGTGACATGACCTTTGAAGGCAAAATAAGAGACATGGAGATTTCTGGAACTCCAATCTAGAGAATAAGATACTTGCTAGTTTTTACTCTCTGATAAGATAATTGTTCAATTGTTTCATGTTCTCTATTATATTAGGCCCCCAAATATAGCATTCCTCTACTTCCCAATAACCCATTACCTTCCCCTAATGGTAACAAGCATTGAAATAAATGTACATAATAACAGCTGTATTTATCAGGGTGACACAAAATATTCAGGCTTCCTGACTTGCTTGCCTTTTCTTTTACTCATTGACTTCTATCTTCTATATTGGCCCTTTTTTAATTTAAAATAAGAGAAAAAAAGTGTGTATATGTATACACATATATGTATGTATGTGTATACACATATAAACACATATATATACATATATGTGTATATTTATACACACATACATATATGAAAAGAGGAAGTGTTATTCACGTTATTCATAGGACAGGTATATTATCCTGGTAACTTACCTTCCTGGCTCAATGGCTTTGGAAGCTCAGAGCTGACTATTGAGAGCTAATGAAAAATGCTAGAAGCCAGTGTGACCATTCTTCATTCTTTCCTTCCTTTCTTCCTTTCCTTCATTCAACAAACTGTCATTAAGACATCTATATGTGAGGCACTGAAATAGGTGAAAGGGGAAGTACACATATAAATTAAATATAATCCCTGACCTCAAGGAAGATAATTACAGTCTGCTGAAAGGAGATAAGAAATGTTGCAAATATCAATAACGCAAAATGCAATATGATAAAGGGGGAAAAAAGAGAATTAAAAACAAAGTCCCCTGAAGGCCCAGAGAAAGTAGAGATGATGTCTGGCCAGAGACAACAGGAAAGGCTCTACAGAGAGGATATCATTTGAGCTCAGCTTTCTATGAAGAAGGGGAGAGTACTCCATATGCAAGGAACAGCAGGAGCAAAGACACAAGGGTACAAAGAACGAATATGTTCAGGAAGAGGAAGTAGCCCAGTTTGTCAGTAGCCTGAAGTGCTGAATAGAGTCAAGAAAACCTGGAATTGAGTCCTATCTTCAACAATTTCTAATTTTATTCCAGCAATCAATCACAACCACCTGAAGTCTCAGTTTCCTTATCTGTAAAATGAGGGTAATTATACTTGCAATACCTACCTTATAAGACTTTTGTAAAGACAGTAATTTGAAAATTTTAAAGCACTCATAATGAATCACTAAGAACTGTTATTATTATATGAGAAGGAGTGCTGTAAAGCTTGAAAGATAGATTAGAATCAGATTGTGAATCAACAAAAACTTCTGGCAGAACTAAAAAAAAGTAAGTCTCAAAGAAACTAGGTTTAAGCGAGTACTGTACACCATATACAAAAGCAAATTCCGAATGGGTTCATTACCTAAGTAGAAAAGTCTTATTATAAATAAATTTAGAGGAGAATGGAAGGAGATACCTTTCATAACAGCAACGACAACAGCAATAGCTAACATTTGTATAGTACTTATTACATGCCAGGTACTATGCTAAGTTCTTTACAATTATTATCTCACTTAACATTTACAACAACTCTGGGAAGTAAGCAGTTATTATTATACCCATTTTACAAATAAGAAAACTGGAGCAAACAAAGGATAAATGACTTGCCCAGGTTTGAATAGGTAGTTAGTGTCTAAGGCTAGATTTAAACTCAGATCTTCCTGACTCCAGCCCCAATGTTCTATCCACTGTACCACCTAGCTTCTCCCTAACTGTGACTATGAGAATAATTTTTAACTAAACAAGTAAGAGAATTGAAGCTAAAATAGACCATTTTAACTACATAAAATTGAAATTGTTTTGTATGAACAAAATCAATGCAGCTAAAATTAAAAATGAAGCAATTAATTGCAGAACAACTGTGTAGCAAATGCTTCAGATAAAGGTCTAATATCAATGTAATGTAGGAAATTGAAACCAATACATAGGAAAAAGAGTTGTTCCCTCAGTAGATAAGTTGTCAAAAGCTATAAGGATGTGAATAAGCAGTTTTCCGAAGGAGGAATACAAACTGTCAAGAATCATGTGAAAGAATATTCCAAATTGTTAATGAGAGAGACTCAAATTAAAACTCTGAGGTTTCACTTTATACACATCATATTGACAAAGATATGACTGAACAAATTATAGTATAGAGAATTCAGAAAATTTGGGAATACTTGCATGAACCAATACAAAGTGAAATGATCAGAATCAGGAGAAAAATTTAGATGATGACCCCTAACAATGTAGAGGAAAACAATGTTGAAAGACTTCAGAATTCCGTTGAATATGGCAACCAGTTATAATTTCAGAAGACCGATGATGAATCAATAATGCTTCTCGTCTCCTAGAAGGAAGATGATAGATTAGAGCAGAACCTGATATGTCCAATGGACCATAGTTTGCTGACTCCTGGACTTGAGGTGCAAAATGAAGCATATGTTTTCATACTCAGCTAGTTTGCTGATTTGTTTTGATTAACTATAGTTATTTGCTGGAAGGGGAGGATTCAGGAGTGGAAAGGAAGATGACAATGGGAAGTGACAGAGACACAGAAAAGAAACAAAAAAATTTAATAGAATATAATAGTATATACAGAGGAAAACCAAAAAATAAGATAATCTAGAAGGGGACGTAAACAGGAAATGTTTATTACTTTGATATGTTTAAACTTTAAAATGACAATAAAAACCCAAACTGTATATAACATAAGTTCATAATTTCTTGTATAATCCTTTTAAAAATAACAAATGTTGTATATTATAATGTCCTATTTCTTACAGATTAAGTTAAAAGTTTAAAAAAAATGAAAAAGAATCAGATTTAATGAATGCCCAAGTAAGGTATTTGAACTTCATTCCATTAGCAATGGGGAGAAATTAAAAAGTTTTGAGCAGAGGAATGATGTGATTTGAGCAGTACATTAGGAAGATGAATCTGGCATCTGGTACTTCTGGGCTGGCACTCCCTTACATTTACTAGCTGACTCATTCAGGGAAAAGGAAAGATTCTTGGCAGTTAATGAATGTCCTGACCATGTAGAAAGAGGAATGAATGCCCATTTCCCCCACCTCTTATTGCTCCACCATAGTTTGTATAGGCCTTTATTCTGCATTGTCTCAGCCAGGATTTTCTAAAGAACAGCCTTACTGGGACCACTCATAAGAGTCAAAATTCATTTACCTGGTAGGCTAAACCTAGGAACCTAATCCCCTTCTTCAAAACAATACTACCGAGAGAAAAAAAAAAGTATGACTGATGATACTAAATATAAACAAATCCCCTATGAATAGCGGAGGAATTAAACTGCTGGTGTAAAGCTAATTGGAAAAAAAGTCTCTACTGAACACAACCACCACCATGGTTGTGTGCCCTCACATATTGAAAAGGAAAGGGGAAAGGAATAACATTTACATAGCACTCACTATGGGCCAGACATTGTGCAAATAATTTTTGCAAGTGTTATGTCATAGGGCCAGATGGATTTACAAGTGAATTCTACCAAACATTTATAGAACAATTAATTCCAATACTATGTAAACTATTTGGAAAACAGTCAGAGTCCTGCCAAATTCCTTTTATGACACCTTTTATGACAAGGTACTGATACCTAAACCAGAAAGAGTCAAAACAGAGAAAGAAAATTATAGGTGAATTTCCCTAATGAATATCAATGCAAACATTTTAAATAAAATATTAGCAAAGAGATTAAAGCAATTTATCATTAAGATAATACACTATGGCCAGTGAGATTTATACCAGAAATGCAGGGCTGGTTCAATTTGAAGAAAATTATCAGCATAATTGACCATATCAATAACAAAACTAACAGAACTCATATGATTATCTCAATAGATACAGAAAAGGCTTTTGATAAAATACAGCACCCATTCCTATTTAAACACACACACACACACACACACACACACACACACACACACACACACAGGAGAGCATAAGAATAAATGGAGTTTTCCTTAAAATTATAAGCAGTATCTATCTAAAACCATCAGTAAGCATGAAATGTAATGGGGATAAGTTAGCAGCATTCCCAATAAGATCTGGAGTCAAACAAGGATGCCCATTATCACCACTATTATTCAATATTATAGCATTAGCAATAAGAGAAGAAAAAGAAATTGAAGGAATTAGAATAGACAATGAGGAAAGAAAACTATCACTCTTTGCAGATCCTATGATGGTATACTTAGAGAATCCTAGAGAATCAACTAAAAAACTGCTTGAAACCACTAACAACTTTAGAAAAGTTGCAGGATAAATCCATATAAATCATCAGCATTTTTATATATTACCAGCAAATCTTAGCAAGAAGAGATAGAAAGAGAAATTCCATTTAAAATAACTGTAGACAATATAATATATTTGTCAGTCTGCTTGCCAAGACAAACTCAGGAACCATATGAACACAATTACAAAACGCTTATCACACAAATAAAGTCAGATCTAAACAATTAGAAAAATGTCAATTGCTCATGGGTAGGCTGAGCATAAAGATGACAATTCTACCTAAAATAATTTACTTATTCAGTGCCATACCAATCAAACTACCAAAAATTATTTTATAGAGCTAGAAAAAAAATAAAATTCATCTTGAAGAACAATAAGATCAAGAATATCTAGAGAGTTAATGAAAAAAAAAATACCAAGGAAGGTGACCTAACTGTACCAGATCTAAAACTATATTATAAAATGGCAATCATCACAACTATTTGGTACTAGCTAAATGATACAGTGGTGGATCAGTGGAATAGGTTAAGTACACAAGGCACTAGTAAATGTAGTAAATGACTATGGTTAGTAATCTACTGTTTGATAAACCCAAAGATTCCAGCTTCTGTGATAAGATCTCACTATTTGACAAAAACTGCTAAGAAAACTGGAAAATAGTATGGCAGAAATTAGGCATAGACCAACATTGCACACCCTATACCAAGATAAGGTAAAATGGGTACATGAGTTAGACATAAAGGATGATACCATAAGCAAATTAGGAGAGCAAGGGACAGTTTATCTGTCAGATCTATGGAAAAGAGAAGAATTTGTGATCAAACAAAAGATAGAGAACATTGTGAAATGCAAAACGAGTAATTTTAATTACATTAAATTTAAAAAAAGGTTTTGTACAAACAAAACCAATGCAACAAAGATTAGAAGGAAAACAGAAAGCTGGAAACAATTTTTAGAGCCAATGTTTCTGATAAAGGCCTCATTTCTAAAATATACAAAAAATAGAGTCAAATTTATAAGAACACAAGTCATTCCCCAATTGATAAATGGTCAAAGGATATGAAAAGGCAGTTTTCAAAGGAAGGAATTAAAGTTATGCTCTAAATCACTATTTATTAGAGAAATGTAAATCAAAATAATTCTGAGGTACCACATCATACCAATCAGATTGGCTAATATGACAGAAAAGGAACACAATAAATGTTGGAGAAGATGTGGGAAAATTGGAACAATGATGCATTTTTGGTGGAGTTGTGAAATGATCCAACCATTCTGGCAAGCAATTCAGAACTATGTCCAAAGG